TTTATTTATTTATGTACTTACCCACTAACTTATTTATTTACTTACCCACTAACTTATTTATTTATTTACCCACTAACTTATTTATTTATTTACCCACTAACTTATTTATTTGTTTATTTATTTATTTATGTGCTTACCCACTAACTTATTTATTTATTTGCTTTCCCACTAACTTACTTATTGTACATATGATCTATTTATTGATTTATTAAATTACTTACCCACTAACTTATTTATTGCATATTTGTTTGTGGTCTTGAATGGTTTATAGGTTTAACTTTGTAGACTTGCTGACATATTTATTTATGGACTTACCCATTAACTAATTTATTGTACATATGATCTAATAATCACTTACTTACCTAGTAACTTATTTTTTATTGCATATTCTATTTATTTTTATTTTTCTGTTCATTGCTTTTCTTATCTGTCAGATTGTCATTTATTGTCTTTCTGTCTTTACTTACCCACTATATTTACTTTACAGTTGATCTATTTAATTATTTATTAATTTACTTACCCACTAACTTATTTATTTATTATTTATTTATTGTGGCCTTAATTGGTTTATTTATTGCCCATTTTACCTATAGTGGGATTATGTAACTTTATAGTTTTGCTTACATTTATTTTTGCACTTACCCACTAACTTATTTATTGTACATATGATTTACTTAATGTTTTATTTATTTACTTACCCACTAACTTATTTATTTAGTGTAGTGTGGTCTTGATTGGTTTATTTATTGCCCATTTTACCTATGGGGGGATTGTGTGGGTAACTATAGTTTTGCTGACATATTTATTTATGGACTTACCCACTAACTTATTTATTATATATATGATCTATGTATTTATTCATTTACTTACCCACTAACTTATTTATTGTATAGTTGATCTATCTTATTTTATTTATTCATTTACTGACCCACTAACTTATTTATTTATTATACATTTGATCTATTTAATTTTTTTGCTTATTTACCCACTAACTTTATTTATTTATTGCATATTCGATTTATTTATTTGAATCTATCAGTTCATTTCTTATCTGTCCGTGGATTGATTGACATTATTGACTGGCTGTTATTTATTTACTGACATGCTAACTTATTTATGTACTTACCCGCTAACGTATTTATTTATTT